TAGGTGGCCGAGGTCGCGCAGCTGTGGGCGGCCAACGTCCGCCTGGCCAACATTCACCTGAGAGTAGCAGTTGACAGCATCATCGAGTTCTATTTCAGTGGTGGTCCTGACAGACCCAGTGCCTGTGGGGTGGCCGAGAGGTGCCAAAGAGCCATCCAGGACATCCCAAATCTGCTGCAGGGATGATGATATCATTGCTGTGAAATCATAATAGCAGTGACATCATCAGCAACAGAGCTGCTGTCACCTGTCCCCTCCCCGTGCAGTTTTTGAGACAAATTTGGGGAATTTTCTGGGAATTTTCATTGATACTGTCCAAAATCCTGATGGGAATTCCTGGGGTGATGTCACTGGGGACACTCAGGGACAGGGGACAAGGGTGACTGAGTCCCCTCAGCAGCTTCCAGCTTTCCACTGTGCCTGCAGCATGGCCAGGCTGTCACCATGATACTTCATGTAAAATCCCTTTGCCAGGATTTCTCCTCCTGGGAAGATGAGAAGCCTCAGGGGAAAAGAAAAACAATACTGTGATCGCTTCTCCCTGAGTTTTGCTGCTTGGAATGTGGCAGGTGCACCTTTGATTGGTTCCATGTGAATTGTTTTTTACTGAATGACCAATCCCAGTCCAGCTGTGTCGCAGTCTCTGGTCAGTCACGGGTTTTTTATTATTCATCCTTTTCTAGGTTTGTGACGTATCCTTTCTCTCTATATTTCAGTATAGTTTTAGTATGTAATTTCTATAATATAATGTAATATCATAATATATCAGCCTTCTAAGAAATATGGAGTCAGATTAATCTCTTCCCTCATCCTGGGACACTCGCAAACACTGCCAGCACTGGGTCATAAATGACAATTTAATAACTGGCTTCTGTAGTTCTGCAGTGCCTTTTGCACTTTTGTATTGCCTCTATGTAGGCTCTATGACACCGTGAAGCAGGGCAGTGTCACCTGGTGGCGTCGGCAATGCCTCTGAGCCAGGCCTATCAGAGCACCGCGTGGACCACCTGGGCCGGGGTGACAGCCGTGCCCGCGGTCTGGTGGGAGTTGCTGGCCAAGACGACGGGCAGCTGGGCCCGGCTGGCCAGGGAGGCCACCGGGCTCCGTGACGCCTGCAAGGAGGTGGTCGCTGCTGAGGCCGCCGTTGCAGCCACCGCCCAGGACGAGAACCTGCAGAAAAACGCCACCCTGGAGGAAAGCTCAGGCAAACCTGGCGATGGCAGTCCGGCTGCTGCCACAGGCCCTGGAAACGGCGGAGGACGCCTCGGCAGGTGCCGTGCACGAGGCCCAGGTGGTGGCGGCCGGCAACGAGATGGCAGCGGCCGCCGCGGCCTTGACAGAGGACGTGGTGGCCAAGTGCCGGGCAAAGGCAGCCGCCAAGAGGCAACGGCGAGCGAGGGCAGCTGCCACTGGCCCTTGACAGGGAGGAGGGGCCTCGGCAATGGCTGCGCTCGAGGCCCGGGGGGTGGCGGCCACCAACGAGGTGGTGGTGGCCACCGTGGCCATGGGAGAGGCCGTGGTGGCCAAGAGCCAGGTGTTGATGGCCACCAGGAGGGGACAGGTGGTGAAGGCGGCCCTGGGGCTGCTGGAGTGCTTGGTGGCCGCGTGTGACAAAGCCACCGCCTTCCCCCGGGAGCTGCAGCGCCTGCTCAGGGACATGGTAGACATCACGGAGGGGACAGAGGAGGAGTCCCCCAATGTCCCCAAGGCCTTGGTGGCCAAGGTGGCCGAGTTTGAGCGGCTGTGGGAGGCCAGTGCCCGCCTGGCCAGGGATCACCTGCTGGGGGCACTTAAGGTCATCAACAACCTCTTTTTCAATTATGACCCTGATGGCCCTGCTGTCCGCACAGTGGCTGAGCAGTGCCAAAGAGCCACTGAGGACAT